TGTAGTCTGTCGTTGAGAGAAGGGGGAAGGTGTGATCCTAGCTGCAGGATAATTTTGGTTTCTGCAGTCTTTCTGATGTATGAGTTCAGAAAAACGTCTTTGAGAACACAGACAGAGAGATAAGAGTGGTCATGGTCATCACTATAACAGTATAAAGTGAAGTATAGTGACGTATAATAGTATAGTGTGTTTTGGAACTGAAAAAAATGTTATTTATGATTTAAGAACATGTGGCAATAATAGATTCGCCCTCCCCCATTAGTCCATTAAACCAAGCGTTTACTATACATGTAATTATAAAACAATTGTCAGTGCTTTAGCATTTTAACTGGACTCCTATTAAACATTTTTTTCTATAGCTTTTTGTGTACCTATTTCTGAATTGTAGAACCCAGTGCTACATACTAGTACACAAAGTGCTATAATATACAGTAGTACTGTAACAAATCATTTCAATTTGAACTAATATTTTGTGATAATATACTAGTGAGAGTAAATAAGACATACTTTACATGTGTGGAAATAATAATAATTCCACACATGTATAGTGCTTTTCTGGACACTCCACTCAAAGTGCTTTACAGGTAATGGGGACTCCCCTCCACCACCACCAATGTGCAACATCCACCTGGATGATGTGACAGCAGCCATAGCACACCAGTACACTCACAACACATCAGCTATCAGTGGGGAGGAGTGATGAAGCCAATTCATAGATGGGGATTATTAGGAGGCCAAGAATGATAAAGGGCAAATTTTAATTTTTGGCCAGGACATTGGGATTACACCCCTACTCCTTTCGAGAAAAGCCCTGGGATTTTTAACAACCATTGAGAGTCAGGACCTCGGTTTTACATCTTATCAGAAGGACGGAATTTTTTTACATGCCCCAGTATAGTGTCGCTGTCAGTACACTGGGGCATTAGGAACCACGCAGCCAGCAGTCTGAGCACCCCCTACTGGCCCCACTAAGACCACGTCCAGCAGCAAACTTAGCTTTTCCAGGAGGTCTCCCTTTCAGGTACTGACCAGGCTCACACATGCTTAGCTCCAGTGGTTTGCCAGTTGTGAGTTGCAGGGGTGTTACTATCATCTAGCATAGTGACATAGACTAGGATTCACAGGTAGGAGTACACAACTAGGGGCCACTAATCAGTTGGACAGGGTCCTCTTGGTACTAAGCAGGGCACGGGGCTGTGCCTACTTCTCCGTGCAGTGCTGATGATTGACTTTACTGCCAGGTGCTGCAGAGCTTGCAATCTATCATCTGACAAAATGATTTGACAGGGACACATGACAGAGGTGTACTGTATGTTTATGTGTCTCATTCTCCTGACTACAGAGACAAGTTTATCCATCCATCCATTTTCTAACCGCTTCTTCCAATTCAGGGTTACAGGGGGAGCTGGAGCTTATCTCAGTAAGCAACGGGCACAAGGCGAGGTACAACACAGACGGGATGGCAGCCTAGCGCAGGACACAAACACATACAGCTGATTTCTCAAGAAGCCAGTTAACCTACCAGTATGTTTTTGAACTATGGGAGGAAACTTGGACAGCCAGAAGAAACCCACATGAACATGGGAAGAACATACAAACTCCACACAGACAGCACTCCAGACAGCAAATATAACCACTGCACCACTGGGCTACCACATCATGGGTTCATTTAAAGTTTCAAAATATTTAATCGGCATTAACCTTTCTCCACTTACCCTGTAACTCAAATGAGAATGCATGGCCTAATAGCGTTGTGACAGCAGACATATGCATTTCTCTTGTCTGTTTATTAGCAGCTCTGAATTAATTTTGAATATGAAGAGTTTTGTTGCATATTTTGTTACATACTGTACGTTATATTTTAAATAATATAACCACTGTTTTATTCAAGCAAAAGTAGCAATTACCTGACTGAACTGCTCTCTTGATTGGGTTTTGCAAACAATTTATCGCTCCAGGGAGTTGCTGTCTGTACAAACTCTACTTTGTATTGTAAGAGGCATAGGAGAGGAGAGGAAAAGGAGTTCATGAGCTGCATATCCTGTCTCCACGAGAAAGAAATACATACAGTACAATACAACTTCCATTTAGAATCTATTCAGGCAGAACAACATGCATTTTTCCCTAGGTATTTCTGAGATAGAACTAATTGACTTACACATTTATTTACTCATCTGAATTTTATTTGGGTGAGATAGATCATCACATATATTATTACATAATGGAATTTTAAACTGATGCTATTTCTTGAATCAAATGCAATCTGGCCCTTTCCTCTTCATTCATACCTAAGGAAATGCTATACATAGGCACGAACATTTCAGCTAGGTTTTTCATGTTTCATTGATGGCAAGGGCTCCAGGCAGAATGAACATGACATCAAAGTTGTGATAATGAAGGTTTTAAACTGATTTAAACTCACTTAGTTGACTAAGTTGACTTAAACTGAAAACAGCAGGAAAATCTATTATATTTTCCATCAGTATTCTGAATACCACAGAAAACCACAGTCAATAAACTAGGGCAATGTAATGACTCTGAAACACATGTAATGAAAAAAAGCCTTGCAAGTAATCACGAATGACTAATAAACATTCATGAATATCTGTTAGAAAGGCTTCTTATTTTATTTCTCTTAATATACAGTATGTATCAAAGCATAGGAACACATTTCACAGTAGTTTATGTCAAAAGACATCGCATCAGAGATGCACATCAATACATTGACATAACAGTTAAAGAGCATGAAGAGAATTTGTTCTCATCAGGTCAACACAAAAAGAGCATAAAGAGAATTTGTTGTCATCAAGTCAACACAAAGTCACACACCAGTAGGCACACTAAGGTAAGAACATTCTTCAGAGAGACTTTGCCCACATTTTCTGCCTTCCAACTGCCATCTCTTTGACTGACTGAAAATGGATGCAGTCTGTAAACTACACTTTGAAGATGGTAATGACATGAAACAAGTGCTTCACAGCGACCAAGGAAGTGTGACAGAAATAAGGCCTGACCATGCGTCCCATCTAAGTCATTCAGTAGTTGGTAGTTAACAGACTGAAGGACTTCATCAAGCCTTTTCTTGAAGAAAGTCAGGGTATCAGTTTCAGGTAACAGCATGGCTAAATTGCTTGTTCCATACCCCCACAGCCATTTGGTTAAAGAAGTGCCTTCTGTTCTCACTGCAATACTCACTGACTAGCCCACTTCATTTTTTTTTAAATACATGGCATGTTATAAAGCGCATTATCATGTAAAACACAATCCTTAAGCACAATGGATAATATCAGAATAGCAACACCATTCTTATTTTACAGATCTATGACCTGTTTAACGGACCTGACGTGAGCCTTAAAATTCAGTAATGACTGTAATTTGCTCTTAAACTTTTGTGTCTTAAGATTTTTACATAAAACTACAGTAGGTATTACAATATTTCACCTGTTCAAGTTCACTCAGTCTGTGACTTGGTAAATCAGAACACTTGCGTCACAGATCTCCTTACCAAGATGTCTGGCTCACAAGTAGGGCTTTACTGCTGTGCTAGTGGCAGTCATCTCAGTCTATCTCTGAGACACCAGACGTTTTTCAGAATCTTAACATGCTCATTAACTGAAATAAAGGCATGTCAAAGTGAAATGTGTTTATAAGTGCTGGGCAACAATCAGCAAACTTTTTGTTAAAAAAGCAAATTCTCCATGATAATGGGAACATGAAATGCAGTATATAGAGTTGGAAACATATGTAAGGCTAATATTAAAATGACATAAACAGGATGGTTGAATTATTTAATATCTAAAAAAAGCGCCAAATCAAAGCAGACCTACAAAACACATTGAAAATATTTTCATGTAAGTCATTCAATAAACTGATCAACAAAATATTATGAAGCACTTAATATATACCTACAAAATATAATTTCTATTGCACCTACTGTAAAACGTAAACGAAGATCTTCAGATGTTTAAATGTTTTGTATAGGATTTTAACGAGTACTGTATCGTCTAAATATCTATATTTACTTTTAATAATGTTATACCACGTTATTCGTTTAAAACTTGCAGTCTGTTGCAAAAACTGATATTCTGTAACCAGGGTCAGTTTTTGCAAAATACAGTTATCTGCTGTATGTTTTATGTTTTCCGGGCAAACAATTGAAATTACAGCTTTTCTTTTAGAGCCAAAATGGCCTCCATTTTATAACGCTTAAATCCAAAATGTTTGGTGGAAGTTTAGTCCTTTTAGTTTACCGTAGGCCTTGGTATCAATGGGTGGAGATTTGTGGTCATGTGAATGATTTGTGTCTTGTGAGTGCCTGAGAAGAACAAAAACAAAACAAGGTAGCAAAACATAATTGCGTGGATAGAAACTGGTAGGAGATGTCGAAGTATGTACTTATTTTGTATGTATTGTTAATTTAAAATGTAATGTGTTTTAATTGGTTGGTACGCTAATAGCAGTTTTAATAAATTGTGTAAGTGCTTGCTTTGCAAATGCTCCATGAATACAAAAAATGCCAGTATTTATTCCTAAGCAAATTAACTTTTTAAATTAACATAATTGTAAGCATAATGTGTAAATGAAACCGTCGGTGTCCTCGTTGTTTATAATTTTACTTTGAGTTTCGACGTTTCGAAATGACGTGCTGTCAGAAACACATAATAAGGACTTCCGGTGTCTAAGTGTACAGTATGTTGTCAATAAATGAAATTGTCATCTAAAACCAAAGTATGTCATGTTGTTTAAAGTTTTCTCTTTCGGGTTCGTTCCGGATAACAGGACTAAGATTGCTTTGTGTATTCCTTGTAGCGAGTACTGTATTGACTGAATACTGTGCTTCGTTAGTCATAATCCAATAGATGTTTTTATAAATGCATGGGTATTGTGCGGTATTAATTTATTATTTGAAACTTCTCTCGATTTAATTTATATGTCTTTGTTTCCTATGACTATGTAAGCAGTAAATTAATTGCTGCTTACACAGTCAAATTGATTTGAATGATCTACAGTTTAATACGTGTTTTCAAGTATTGTTGTTGATGCATTTGCAGATGCCACAGTTATTCGTGTTTTGTTTTCCAGTAAACTGGGATCGAGTGATCATCTGAAGTATATGCCCAGACATGTTACACTACTCCTTACAGGGGGGTGTTTCTTCTTCAAGTAAAACGGTTTGAGCAAAATACCAATAAGTAATGGCTGCTTGAGCTTGGCCAAACCTAACACAGTACTGGAAAAGCTTTGCCTTGCTGGAGCTCAATCATAGCAAACACTGCACCTTTTCTAACATGTGAGAATGACTGAACACACTGCAGGGTAAGAATGCATGTGTCCAATGAGACCTGGGTGATGAACCAAGATCCTGTCTGTGAAGCTAAGTGAAATCTGAGGAAGCAGATCGACAGCTGTTATGAGCCTACAACTGCAGACATGGCTGAAGCTGTGAGACCAAAGAAATCCAAAGTGAAGCAGAGTGGGAAATCTCAGGTAACAAAGCATCGAAAGTACCAGCATTGTGCTTTGCATCCTTGTGAAACCCTTTCAATTTGAGGATAGAAAAAAAAAAGATTTAAAATGATTTTATAATCCAAAACCACATTTAAAATAGAAGATAAAACTGCTTGACTGCAGAATTCTGTCTAAAATTTATTATTAATTTCATATTAAGTGGTAGTGCAGAAAATATATTAGACAGCTCAGAGAAAACAGAAGAGAAGTTGAATGAACAGCAAATATTAGAGGGAGCTGCAGGCCGCTATTAATTGTAACAAGCTGGAGTTGTGTATATATAGGTGTAATCTTTTCTGTTGATATTCTTGTGATTTTTTTTTTTGCCTGCAGTGATACAGAATGTTTACATATATCCATTCTGTCCTAAACTTTCTATAAATGTTTTAATTTCATAGCCCCCCTTTGCCAGTGCATGTTGATTTGGATGATACAAACCATGTTCATGATGTCATTGATTTTCCCATTGACACACTTGAGCCTTTTGAAATTTCACATATCTACACATGGACTTAAGACTGTAATATCTTCATATATTTAGAAGCACGAGCACCAAAAGAACAGAAAAAAAGTTAACATGTTTTCAGATTAAAAACAATGTTGTTTTACTTTCACCCTCCATTAGTTAATTTTGTAGAATCTTAAAATAAAAGAATGAATGAAAGAGTTACTCTAAATTTATTTCAGTGTCTTTATATAGATCCGAAAGCCAAACATATACAAGTCAAAACCTTATTAATTCTTCCTGCTTTGATTGTCAGTCTCTGTGTGGCTCTATGATCCAGGCATTGCAGGTTCTTTGACCCCAAGTCATGAGTCATGATGAGAGTTTCCCAAGTGGCAGTGCACAATTGACTGAATACCACCCAGGAGACAGTTAGGTTTAGTTGGCCAAGGGTTTTGCAGCTCTTGGTAAACCAGTGACACTTGTGGCTTCTGTAGGTTTGCAGTGCTGTCGGTAAAGAATAAACCTCTCTTTCTCTTTGTGATTCTTTTGGAGGAAAAGCTCTGTAGTGCAGTTATTTATTATGTGTCTTAGAAGATGAATAACTTGAAGATGGGCAGATTGGAGAAGTCTGTCTCTACTTCCTCATTCGCTCTGTGTGTTGTTCTGAGGCTTGCAGCTGTGAGCCAACACATGAAAAACCATGTGATTCCAAATTAGGTGGCTGTAAAACAAAACACTAATTGAGCAAGAGGCAGTAAAAAAAAATCTTATACACAAATACTGGTATGTGTGTTTTCCAGGCATAAAATAATTAGCAATGTTAAGTAAAAACTGATAGGCAAAAATGTCTTCTCGCTGAATTTTATAATCATCTGTGCCTTTTGCGCATCTGTGTGAAACTTAAATCTTTTCTTAGAATTATCATGTATTTATTTAATAAAAAATAACATCTGTTATTCCTTTTCTTCATTTCCTAGGAAAAAAAGCAAAAGCCAAGTGAAGTCTTAAAAATTGTGGGAAAAACTGGTGCCCCAGACTGCCAGGAATCCTTTCCTGTTCCTCTGAACAAAGCTTTGCAGCATAGGAACAAAGATGACCTGCAGCCGAGCCATGAGTTCACCGACATCCCTCTGAGCAACGCAGCCGAGGGGCAAGTGAAAGGGGAGGATGATCTTCCATGCACAGTGCCGTCATTATTGAGCCCAGATACCAGAAAAAAAGAGATTGAGAGAAGGGAGGCAGGGATCAGCTGTGAAGGTGCTGTAAGAGCTGACACCAGGGGCCAGGAAAATGCTGATGAGGAAGGACAGGTTGTCCAGGATGAGAAGGACCAGAGAGATAAAGATTTCTGCAATGATGGCACTCAAAAGCATCAAGTCTTCAGAACATGGACTAAAGACCGTAATTCCAAATGTTTGGACATAGATGCCCAGCCTTGCCAAGCTGGAAGAGGTCAGGAAGCCAGCAGTGCACTAGTTTCCTCCATGTGTCC